CAAACCTTTCTTTGTTTACAAGGAGCCTAGCTTCATGTAGTTGGGATTTTTGTTTCTTGTTGAGCAATTCTTTTTGTCATTATTTATTTTTGAGTGACGCATTTGCCCCTTCAGCGTGCACAGGCATTGCTCAGTGCCTGGTGTGTTGTCAGTTTCCATAAATGCTTGTCAAATGATTGAAGAACATACCCTTTCTCGCTGCATTAGGCTTCCTCTGGTTATGAGTGACTGCAAGCCACATAGACTTGAGGAAAAAAGGGGCACTTATTGACTCAGGTAACTAAGAAATCTAGGGCTTGAGCTGGTTAGGGGATCCGTATCCCACATCTGTCTCTCTGAGCCCACTTCTCTCTGGGTTGGCATCTTTCCTAGGTAGGCTTGCTCTATAGTGATGGTCCCAGGTAGCTCCAGGTTTACAAGATTATCAGAGCTCCTACTTCTAGAATAGTGGTTGGCAAGCTTCCTCATTAAGGGATAAGATAGTAAGTGCTGTAGGCCATAGGTCTCCCACAGCTCTCACTGCTGTGGCAGCAGGAAAGCAGCCACAGATAATATGGAAACAAATGGGCAGGCCTGTGTTCCAATAAAACTTTACTTACAAAAGCAGGTTGGTGGCTGAATTTGGCCCTTGGGCCATTGTTTCCTGATTTTGGTTCTAGAAGAAGATAAGGCCTGTCTTCTGTTGGTTCAGGTAAAGTTGTAGGGAGGACCCTGGGTTGTGGGGAGGATCCTGTGGTCCAAGGCTGGGGCTGGGATGAAGCCAGTGAGGCACCCACTTCAGCCACAAAACTTATGCAAGTGTTGCTTGTGGAAGTAGGGTTCTTCCACAGAGTCACGAGAAGAGCATTTCGGGGACCCACACATAGGAGGATGAGGTGTAGTGGTCAGGCTTATGGAGTGAAAACAAAGGACTGTTCCCAGGTACCTGGTGTCTCATCCACAACCAGGTGGCTCAGCTCCGTCTCACTGTGGAGTAAGTTCTGGGCTGGTGAGCAGAAGTGCCCACCAGGAGGGTCAGGATCCAGAACTGTACTGTCATCACCCTGGGCTCACGTAGTCCAGCATAGTCTGTGCTTCCAGCTGCGCCGGCTGGTGCTGCGCCGCCCAGCTCAGGCCTGCTCTTGGCGCCCCATGGCTGCTGCAGGGAGAAGGCCCAGAGTGAAGGGGCGAATGTGTGCTACCAAGACGGGCCTTTGTGAAGCTTTGATTCTGTTACCTCAGGCTTGGGAGAGAGCAGGCTTTCTTTCAAGCTAACAATCTCTTTCCCAATCCTTCACAGGCTTGTGCTGGCTCCTTCCCCTATCCAATCCAGTCCTTTTCTCAGGTTTTCCAGGCTAGACTCCGCCCCTTTATGTCACCATTTTGGCTCCCACTGCACATGCCTCAAAGTTCTGCCCCCCCCCCCCCATCACCTGGTTTCTACTGTGCAAGTGCCTAGTGAAGGAATTTCTCTCACTCCTCCCCCAGTAATTCCTCTCCTGGTGTCCCCTGGGGAGATTCTTCCTCCCTGCTTGGGGGTTAAGTACCCTCAGGGAGGAAGATGCTTCAGTTCCCTGGGGAGCCTGGTAAGGCTATGGATGGCCTCCTAGTGAATCTGGCTTAATGTTCCCTTTCTTAACTACCTACGCTAGCAGGAGTACAAACAAAACTGAGCAATCAAGACAAATACTATTTTCATGCAATATTTTAAAAAAAAGAAAATCAAGATTAATACAGTGAAAACCCACATGCACAAACTATCAAACAGGGCCGGGATGAGGGTGGGGCGAGATGAGGGTGGGGCGGGTGAGGCACATCAAGGCTTAGGGCCAGCTGTGGCCAGGTGATTGCCCAGCCTGGGTTACCTGCCTACCCAGGTAAGGAAGGGAAGGTTGGAAGTGCTGGAGGCAACTTCAAATGGAACTCAGTCCCCTAGGAAAGAGGGGTGCTGCTTTTAGAAGAAAGAGCTTTCTTCTGGGATGTTGTATGCCTGCCTTGGTGCCTTGGTACTAAGTGCTTTATATGTATGCTTTATTTTCTCATTTTTTTTCCCTGCTAGAAAACCTCATTTTTTAGATGAGGCAGATAAACAAAATAGGTTGCCCACGGTCACACAATCTGAACTAGAATCTGAGTCAAAGTTTTGGTCCTCTTTTGTCTCCAAAGCATGAATTCTTGGCATCAATTAAAGTTGAGGCCTGTTAGAAACGTTGCCAAAGGCCCTGTGCTATTAGTTACCCTCTATTAATGAGTGGCCCCAGGTCGCTTGCCTCAGTAACCCCTTCCTGGCTCTTGTTCTGGTTGGCAGATGGCTTTTAGATTGGGAGAGCCAGAAGCCCTCACCTACTTTTGGAATTAGCCCCTTATTTCAAAGAAGCGAGAGCTTGGTGTATATTTCCAAATTAAATTACGGACACTGCAAGCGTTAAGTGGCAGGTGAGCTGCACTTTAAATAGATCACATTAAGTCTGGCAGTGGAAGCGGAGCCCTGCTGGGATAATTCTTATCATCATCAGCACCGCTCTGGCAAGCTTTAGGAGGATTCTGTAGCGGTAAGCAATTTGCGAAATTGAAAGGTGAAAACACACCTTCAAGTGTTCCATATGCATTCAAGGTGAGAGGGAGGTGACTACAGTTTCCAAGAGTGATTGCGATGGTGGGTGAGAGTCACTTGATGTGAATGGTGATGGATATCCAGATGGTTGTCCGGTGTGTTTCAAACTGGTTCATTGGCCAGCCCACTCCGAGGACTGCTCTCACCAAATTTCCCCTGTTCTGGATTCTGAGAGAAGCTTTGAGTGGAAAGAAGGCTGTTAACACACTTGTGCAGTGTGGGATTGGGAAGTGGATTCGTTTGGCACTGAGACAGAAGGCTGTCCTGAGCAAACTGCCCTTTGGTGGTTTTTCCAGTCATTCTTGGGATGTTTATTGTAAACAATCCCAGAGGTTGGCATGATCCACAAATGTATACACACACTCTTACGTACATAGACCTTTAGATGCTGTTAACAGGTAAAGGAAACGGGGGAACGATACCAATGCTCTTGTATAGGAAGGTAAATCTTAAGTAAACAATGGTGAGTCATCATGGACTGAGCATCATGCTCAGTGCCTTGCCTCACTTTCTCCAGTGACCCCAGTAACTGGGTGGCTCTATACTTTGGGGCTTTTGTTAAGGGAGAGGAACCCAAAGCTTAGCATGGTTGAGTGACCTGCCCAACATCATTCCACTGAAAAATCTCTTTAGCTGTTGTTCTGCCCACTAGTCTGGAAGTTTGTTAGGGACAAGGCCTTCTAGTCTCTGCCTGGTAGCCCATAGACTCACCCAGTCCATGGCCCCAGTTAGAAGGCATTCAGTGCTAGCTGAGCTGGAATGTTAGAGTGAGTGCATTAATGGGGTGTCTAGTTTATGGGATGTGTGTATGTGCACCCTTTTGGAGGGAAGGTTCAAAGATCTTGTCACATTCTCAGAGGGGTCCTTGTGCCTGGTTAGCTCCTAGATTCGAATCCATGTCTGGCTGCACACTCAGCATTTTCTCCCTCAGGCTATTAAGCATTTGTGAGCATGATCATTTTAAAGAATGTAGATGCCCCCCACACTTGGCAAGGCAGTGTGATTTCGTGGTTTGCAGTTAAACAGCTCTGAGATCCCATTCTTCTGTATTGCTTACTGTGTTTCGCGCTGTGTGAGTTACTTTACTCGTCTAGGCCTTGGACCTTGTCTTTGACGTGGAGATGACGTTGGTGGTTATAAGGAGTGAGGTCAGATGTAAAGTGTTTAGTGCAACGGCTGGGATGTAGTCAATGCTCAATGAATAGTATCGGCTGTTGCTGTTACTATTATTTGTAGCAAGAAAAAGTGTTGATGTTAGGTAAAGAAAATTGATCACAAAGTTAGGTATACAGTAGAATTATAACTAGAAAAAATCTGTGTGGCTGTGGATAAAAAAAGGGGGGATGTGAAGAGGCACAATTACCATTTTATGGATAAAAACACACTTTCTTAGCTTAAAGCCTTAAATCTGTTCCTATTCTCTGACCTATGAAAATCTCTCCTAAGGAACTAGAAATGAGGACAATTAGTTATGTACAAGGATGCTCAAAGCAGTATGTATGGAAAATTGGCAATATATCATGTTCCCAGCTGTAGAGAAATAGTTAAATTAACAGGAAAGCCATCAAAAATCATGTTTCCAAATCTTTAAATGTTACAGGAAAATGTTCATGACATAGGCGAGAAGAAACAGACCAGCATACAAAATACGTGTGTGTGTATTTGTATATATGTGTATGTATACATACACACCCATATGCAACACACACAATATAATGGTGTATTAGTTTCTTGTAACAAATTACTACAAGTAACACAGGTTAATTTTCTTACACTTACAGAAGGCTAATTCAAAGTTGGTTTCCTTAGGCCAAAGTCAAGATGACAGCAGGCCGGTTCCTTCTGCAGGATCCAGGGTCTCTTCTGGCTTTTGGTGGCTGCTGGTATTCCTTGGCTAGCGCGGCATCATTCCAGTATCTGCTTCCCTGGTCACATCACCTTCTCCTCTTCTATGTCCAATCTCACTCTGCCTCCCTCTAATAAAGATACTTGTAATGATCATGGCCCATAGAGACTGTAGAATAATCAATAATCTTTCCTTTGCAAGATTCTTAATTGAATCCCCGCTGCAAAGCTACTTTTACCACATGAAGTAACATTGGCAGGTTCCAGGGATTAAGACATGATTAGCTTTGGGGGTTATAATTCAGCCTATCATAGATGCTGGTTTCGTATAAAAAAGAAAAGTACAAGAAAAAAGACTGGAGGGAAATGCTTGAAAATGTTAACAATGGCCATGTCTGGGGGTGGACTTGGGGGTCATTTTTATTTTCGGTATACTCTTCAGTATCTTCCCTTTCTGTGCTAAGGAAGTAACGTTAGCACCTCAAAGATGCCCAGGGAGCGTTACTCTAAAAGTGATGCGTGTCCCAGGCCAAGTGCCGCAGCCTGCCCGCTGTCTCCGCAGAGCCCGTGTTCTGGTTCTACGTGAAGGAGGTCCTCAGCAAGCACGAGCTGCAGCGCTTCTACTCCCTGCGCCACATCGCCTCGGACGTGGGCCGTGGCCGGGCCTGGCTGCGCTGTGCCCTCAACGAACACTCGCTGGAGCGCTACCTGCACATGCTCCTGGCCGACCGCAGCAGGCTCAGGTACCGCGCCCGGGGGTCCTGGGGGGGCTGGCCAGTGCTTACAATCACAGACTCTGGAGTCAGGTGGTGGATTTGCATCCCAGGCCCCCATCTGGGGCAACGGGGTTCCCCTCTCTCAGCCCCATTTGTTAAATGAGAGAAGGCCTGCAAAGGGCTCAGCATGGCACCTGCATGTAGCGAGCACTCGATACTTGCCTCTGACTGCTACGGCTGTTGTAGGACACGCCTGCTCTCACTGCATGGAATTTCATTTTATTTTTTTAAATCTTTTTTTCCCTGCATTTTTTCCCCTTTATTGATTTTTAGAGAGGGAGAGAGAGATAGAAACACTGATGAGAGAGAACATCGATTGGCCGCCTCCTGCACGTCCCCCACTGGGGATCGGGCCCACAACCTGGACATGTGCCCTGACCTGGAATCGAACCGGCGACTTCCTTGGTGCATGGGTTGATGCTCAACCATGGAGCCACACCGGCTGGGCTTCTTTATTAATTTTTTTTGGGGAATTTTAATTTGGGATTCTTTTAGGTTCAGAATTTCTTCCTCTTCAGATGTTGGATTTTAGTGCCCAGTTTCATGTTTTGTCTTTACAACTCTTTTCTACATTTTTTATTTTTGGGGGCTAATCAATACCAAACTGACTGAAAGAATATGGAAGTTAAGTTGGGGAGAGAAGTTGTTTGTTGTTAAAACACAACTCCCAATTTTATTATGTTTTTGTTTTTTCTTGATCATAAAGTTCACTGTATCAGGTATCATAGGCCAGGTTATGCAGTCCCAACAAACACGACAAAAGCTTAAGTGGCTTGAGACAGCTGAGTTTATTTCTTCCCTCTGCTTCATGTCTCTCGTGGGTGAATGGGGATTCTCATCTCAGGGACCCAGGCTGAGATGCTCCGTTTCTGTGGACATGTGGTTGAACTAAGCACTGGCTCTTACAGCTTCTTCCCAAAGTGATGCTTCGTCTCCACTCACATGTCACTGGGCGGGCAAGCTCAGCAGGGTGGGGAGACGGCACTGAACGTGCATCAGTGATAGTATAGGCAGCCACATTTTCTTCAAAAACATTGACAGTCCTGTCATTTTTCCTGTACTAATGATGTTTCTCTCTCCCAGTCCCTCTCTCTTTGACTTTGGCTGTTATTTTCCCTCTGAGAATGGTGGACCAGACACGTAGTTTTGTCTGGTGATACAAAGGGAGTGTGATCAGTCCTGCCCTGGTTTCTTGAGTAACTTCCACATCCGCAGTGCCCAGATCCTCAACAGGGAGATTTCATTTGACTCAGTGAGCTGGCGTTTCATTAGTGCCATGATACATTTCTGTGATGTCATATCTTGCCATGTGTGCCCTGGCTCAAGTCTGTCCTGTTTCTTCTGCCCCTTGTGGTCACCTCCCTACCCGTAAATTTGTTAGACATTCTGGTATTGTGTTCTACGGCTCTTATAAATACCCCTTGCTGCCCGGCCGGTGTGGCTCAGTGGTTGAGCATCGACCCAGGCACCAAGAGGTCACTAGTTCGATTCCCGGTCAGGGCACATGCCCAGGTTGTGGGCCAAATCCCCAGTGGGGGACATGCAGGAGGCGGCCAGTCGATGTTCTCTCTCATCGATGTTTCTATCTCCCTCTCCCTCTCCCATCCTCTCTCTCTCTCAAATCAATAAAGAAAAAACAAACAAACCTTTGAGGTTCTCCCATTGATGCTGCCTGTGAGGCTTTGTCCAGTTGTACACTCAGACTCTGTGGGTCTAAATGGGAAGGATGGGGCCCAGGACAACTGGTGCTGCCTGCACCTGTGTGCTGCCCAGGGTCTGAGTCAAACGTCTGTGTCACCTCCCGAGTGTTAACCAGCGTTAGTTAAGGAGAATATAGTCATGTTCCTAAAAATGACTGTTCATCAAGCTCTTCGGCACCACATCATTTGCAAGTACTTCAGAGTTTTGCACTCCACATCAAAGTTGACTTTAACAGTGAGCAGTTGAAGTGGATCCAGCTGTTAAGAATCACAGTTGAATTTACCTAAGCCACTAGTCACTTTAATCTACTTTGATGTGGGAAAACCAGCCTCATTTACATGCGTGAAAACTGACTCACCATTTTTTTTATCCTCACCGGAGGACAGTTTTCCACTTTTGTTCAGATAGAGTGGGAGGGAGAGAGAGAGAGAGAGAGAGAGAGAGACATCCACGTGAAAGAGACACAACCAGTGGCTGCCTTCTGCATGACCCCAATCAGGGCCAGGGACAAATCGCAACCGAGGTACATGCCCTTGCCCGGAATTGAACCCGCGACTCATTAGTCCGTGGGCCGACGCTATAACTGCTGAGCCAAACCAGCCAGGGCCTGATTCACATTTTTAAAGCATCAAAATTTGGGGAATCAGTGTTGCTGTTGCCATGCCCGCCAGGACATGTGCTTTGTGCTTCCCCTGCCGTTCTGCTGGGCCGGCAGGTGTCTCGAATGCCATGCGTCTCCGCTCCCTTTCTGTTACTTGTATTCAGTCACTTCAGCATCTGTGTCCTGTCGCCTGCTGAACTACAGGTCACTCACCCATTGACTGTGCTTCAGTGAAATTTAACTGTGACTCCACTAACTTGGAGTTCTCTGACCTGGCATGGATCTCAGGGGATTGGGGATATTTGCTTGTTACCACTTAGCAGAGGGCTGGATAAAGAGTTGGGGAATTATTTTGAGCTCCCTTTATTGCTAGATAACCTTGGACATACCCCATAGGCCTCTCTGTCCCGCTTTTCCCCACTTAGATTTGTGGGAGCCTTTTTTGTTTCCCAGCTTTTCCCAGGATAAGTTGGGATTTTTGGTCTGCAGCCCAAACAGGTGTTACATACAAATGACCTGGTTGGTGGCGCCATGGAGCTCTGTGATTTCTTTCTGAAATTCGCTCTCTGTGTGTTAGCCCAAAGGGGGCTCTGTGCCTAGCTTAGACTTCCTGTCTGTCTTTTGGAGACCTTACTTGAATGGAAGTCACTTCTCTCTTTGTCCCCTTCTGTTTTGCTGCTTCATAAACACCACATTTACATCTCATGCCTATTTCAGTACTGTCAAGGTCAGGGCATGCTAAAGACCTTGGGGACCAATGAAGAAGTCATAGGATATATGCAATCAGTGCTTAGTTTATAACCAGAAGCTTCAGCCCAGCAGAGACCTCCTGTGTTCACTCTGATGACCGGGCATGGATTTCCCAGGAAGCCATGTAACAGAATTGTTGAGCTAATGGATACAGAGAACCACTGTTTGGAGCCTTTTCCCTTTCTCTTTTAATTTGCAGCACTTTTTATGAAGACTGGTCTTTCGTGATGGATGAAGAAAGGTCTAGCATGCTTCCTACCATGGCGGCTGGTAAGCCTGGGCAAGGCCAGGGGTGATGGGTCCTGTGAAACTTGGTGAGCAGAGGAGGCTGCCTGGGAGTGAATTTATAACTCCAAGGGATGCTCTAATTTTCCCTGCCCATCAGCACTTGAGTCACTTGCCAGTGCCCTTCCTTGAATGGCATTGAGCATTGAGTTCATTTATCTAGAATTTGATACCCTGGCAGGGAGAACATGGGGTTGAGGGTTTTTGGCAGTGGCTTTGCAAGTGTAATATAAAGACCCAGGGAATTGGAGGCAGGAGACCTGCCTTTGAAGCCTCACTCAACCCCTCACTGGCTGGTGACCTGGGACAGATTCTGTGAGCTTTGTTACCTTGACTTTCCTGCTGTATGAGGGGGGAACCCTGATGGCACGGCAGTCCTTTATAGGGCTGAGAGAGAGTCAAATGTGATAAAGAGTCATGTACACCATTTGTCACCATGGAAGCCCTGGAGTGATGGCAGTTGGTGAATTGTTAAGTTGTTCATCATTTGACTCTCCCTCAAAGGGTGAAACAACCGGACAGAAATGGGCAACTTGCTGCTTTCTTCCAAATCCTTTGGTTCCTCCTTTTTTTGTTCTTTCCTGAAAGTGTGCACCAAGTCCCACACATTGAGAGTTTGTTAGTCTAGTTCATTGATGAGGAAGAGTCAGGGTTCGACCATGATTTCCTCTGTCGGCCATAGGATACCAGTGCGTGTTTTTGCCTGAGCAGTGATAATGACATTGATGCACCTTTTGTGGTTGGTCACTGAGCTGGGGTTTTGGTGGGTGATGGTCTTTAATACTTACCCTGTGGAAGAGATATTGTGTCCCCATTTTACAGATAAGGAAACTAAAACTCAGAGAGGTTATAAATAGCTTGACCTGAGGTCTCATAGCTTGTACATGGCAGTGTTGAGGTTCAACCCAGGCAGTCTGACCTCAGAACTATGGCTTACCCTCCTCTTGACAGAGAGGATTTGGAATGACTCAGCTGCTGTGATAGCTGGTATCTACCGACCCCAGTTGTGGGAGATTCTAATCGACATTTAAGATCAGTCTGTACCCTCCTGTGTCCTGTAATGTCTACATCTTGTTTATCGTGTTGGAGGTGTGACTCTCCAACAGCTCACACTCCACACTTTTCCCTTTGTGCGGAAGGTCTGAACTCCATACTCTTCGCGATCAACATTGACAACAAGGATTTAAATGGGCAGAGCAAGTTTGCTCCTACCGTCTCGGACCTCTTAAAGGAGTCAACGCAGAATGTGACCTCCTTGCTGAAGGAGTCCACGCAAGGAGTGAGCAGCCTTTTCAGGGAGATCACGGCATCCTCTGCTGTCTCCATCCTCATCAAACCTGAGCAGGAGACCGACCCCCTGCCTGTCATGTCCAAGCACGTCAGTGCCGGTGAGCCAGAACAAGCATTCGAGGTAGAACAGAGGGGCCGGGTAAAGGACAGGCTGGGGCCAAGGCCCATATCATCTGAAAGCCAAGGGGAGTGAAAGCTGATATAACTAATTAATTATCCTTCTGGTAAATGGGAAGGAAGCCAAGCACTGGGTGCTGTGAAGAGGGATTACTATTGGCCTTGCCTTTTTTTTGGGGGAAGATATTTAAATGGAGGCCAGGGAAAGGGATTAATCAATTAATTACTTGATTAACATTAATACTGTGACATGTTTACAATACTCTGAGCCTTCTGGGACACCCAGAATATTGCTACAGCACAATTTGGAAATTTTGGTTTAGTACTAAGTCCTAGTAGTCTCAAATCTCTTAAAAAAAACAGTAATCATGGTCGTCCCTTTGGGATTATTAGTGATGGTAAAATTCAGAATCTCATGGAGTCTTTGGTACACACTGTCTTTATCTGTTTGCCCTCTCCTTCTCAAGCATAGACCCCATGTGAACGACACAGAAAAGGGTCTGTTGAGGGCTTTGTGTAACAGAGACAATGGAATTTGTATACCCAAGGCAGTATCCTTTCCATTCATTTTGACATTGTCTCAGAGTTGTATGCTCTGGTGAAGCACATCACACCTTGGTTTAGAGGGAATGGAATTTTGGTAATTGGTACAAAGTGTCTCATACCCAAGTTGATGATTAAGAGAGGTAAACTGGGTCATCCAAGTACTGGTCACCAAGGTAGTCTTAATTTCTGTTTCCATTAGCTTTTGCTGTGTAATATATAGTTAAAAATATATAGTGGGTCTGACTGGTGTGGCTCAGTGGTTGAATGTGGACCCGTGTACCAAGAGGTCGCCGGTTCGATTCCCAGTCAGGGCACATGCCCAGGTTGTGGGCCTGATCCCTAGTGGGGGGCATGCAGGAGGCAGCCAGTCGATGTCCTCTCTCATCGATGTTTCCATCTCTCTCTCCTCCCTTCCTGTCTCTCTAAAATCAATAAAGAAAAAAAAATGTAGTGGTTTTAAACAGTCATGATTTATTATTTTTTAATGATGCTGTGGCTCAGCAGGGTGGTTTTTCTGCTGGTGTCACCTGGGCTCACTCATGGGGCTGCATTCAGCTGGTAGCTGAGTTGGAAAGTGTCAGATGGCCTCCCTCCTGTGTCTGACCATTGGCTGGGGCATCTCAGTTTTTCTACCCAGGGCCTCTCATCCTCCAATAAGCTAAATCAGTTTTCTTCCAGGGTAGTTTTAGGGCAGGATTTCAAGAGGGTGCGAGACCTCTTGATGCCTAGGCTCTGGAACTCACACACTGTTATGTCTGCCACATTCCACTGGTAAAGACAGAACACTAGGCCAACCCAGATTCAAGAGGGTGGAGAAATAGATACCACCCTCAATGGACTGACAGAGTCCCATTGTAAAGGGGCATTATGTAGGAATGGGTGCAATTTGTGGTCATCGAACAATTGACTACAACCTCAAACTGGTTTTTTTTGGCTTTGTCTATATCTACCAGCCATGAGAGTATTTCCCAAAGTGAAACAATGAAAATCATTTCAATAATAACATCCTTTGAATCAAAGTGCTTAGAAGGAACAATTTTAACATATGATCTGTGGTATATTTTATTAAAATTATTTTTTAAAATTTATTTTTCAATTACAGTTGACATATAATATTATATTAGTTTCAGGTATACACATAGTGGTTAGACATTTATATACCTTATGAAGTGATCACCCCCCCGCTCCCTTGCCGGGTAAGTCTAGTACTCATTTGACACCATGCATAGTTATTACAATATTGTTGAATATATTCCCTGTGCTGTACTTTATATCACTGTGACTATTTTTGTAACTGGCAATTTGTACTTCTTAATCCCTTTTACAATTTTCTCACATCCCCTCACCTTTATCCTTTCTGGCATCTGTCAATTTATTCTCTGTATCTGTGGGTCTGTTTCTGTTTTGTTTGTTCACTTATTTTGTTTATTAGATTCCATATAGTATTTGTCTCTCTCTGATTTATTTCACTTAGCATATAATAATACCCTCTAGGTCTATCTGTCTTGTTGCAAATGGTCAGATTTCATTCCTTTTTTTATGGTTGAAGCATATTTCAATGCATATATGTACCACATCATCTTTATCCATTCGTCTATTGATGGACACTTACTTAGGTGGCTTCCACATCTTGGCTATTGTGTATAATGCTGCAGTAAACATAGAGGTGCAGATATCTTTTCAAATTTGTATTTGGGATTTCTTCAGATAAATACCCAGAAGTGGAATTGCTGAGTTCTATAGTAATTATATTTAAACATTTTTGAGAAACTTCCATACTGTTTTCCATAGTGGCTACACCAGTTTGCAATCCCGTCAATACTGTACAAGGGTTCCCTTTTCTCCACATCCTCACCAACACTTGTTGTTTGTTGTTTTATTGATAGTGGCCGTTCTGACAGGTGTGAGGGGATATCTCATTGTAGTTTTAATGTGGCATTTTCCTAATGATTAGTGATGTTGAGTATCTTTTCATATGTCTAGTGGCCATCTGTGTGTCCTCTTTGGAGACATGTCTATTCAGGTACTCTGCCCATTTTTAAATTTGATTGTTTGGTGCTAAGTTGTATGAATTCCTTATAGATTTGGATATTAACCCCTTACTGGATGTGTAATTGGTGAATATCTTCTCCCATTCAGTAGGTTGTCTTTTTGTTTTGTTGATAGTTTCTTTCACTGTGCAAAAACTTTTAAGTTTGATGTAGTGTCATTTGTTTATTTTTTCTTTTGTTTACTGTGCCCAAGGAGACATATCTAAAAATTGTTTAAATCACAAGTAGAGGCCCATATCCATTTTGCTCAGTCTCTTCTAAACAGATGTTTTTCCAAGGATTTAAAAATATCTGAATTTAGCTTACAATTGTTAGTGGAGTAGTAGAGGATTTTCCCACAATCTACAGTCAAGATGGCTTGATCACACTTTTATTCTGCCTACTTTTTCTTATATCATATCTTGTCTTTTACCAGATGCAAAATGTAAAAAGGAACGGAAGAAGAAAAAGAAGGTGACCAATATTATCTCATTTGATGATGAGGAAGATGAGCAGAACTCTGGTGATGTTTTGAAAAAGATACCTGGGACTGGGGAGAGCTCGGAGGAGAACTCCGACCGCTCCTCGGTCAATATCATGTCGGCCTTTGAGAGCCCCTTTGGGCCCAATTCCAATGGAAGCCAGAGCAGCAACTCATGGAAAATTGATTCTCTGTCTCTGAATGGGGAGTTTGGGTACCAGAAGCTCGATGTGAAAAGCATCGATGATGAAGATGCGGATGAAAATGAGGAGGATGTGTACATGTCAGGAAGGAAGCGCACAGGCCACTCAGAATCACCCGAGAAGTAAGTCCCACTTGAGATCTTAATGAAGAGTGGTACAGCAACTGCTTTCTCTTTCTGTGGTATTGGGTGAAATTGGGTGCAAGGTTTATATTTGTTTAGGGCATCATTCATTTTCCAGATCTCGATTTGGGAGGGAGGAACATTATTAGCTTGCTGAAAACTAAGTGAGGGGAAGGGAGTCCATTTGAAGGTGCTATTACAAAACTGGTGTCAAGAAGTGTGCCTTGAACTTTCTGCTTTATTGTATATACAGCTTTCATTTTTGTTTTCTAGACCTTCTTCCCATCTGTAACTTGCCATTAGCATAGGACGCTCAGGAGAAAGGCAGGGTTATTCTAGAAAATAGCCATGGGCTAGCGATTTCTGTGTTTATCTGCAGGAGTGTGGACAGCGGTCATTGGCCTGCACTTGCTGCTTTGACGCTGGCGTTGCTGCAGATTGATGCCTGCGGGAGGGGCTTGATGCGCGCGAAGGCACAGAGCAAACAGCATAGTGAAGAGCTGGGGTTTTGGAATCCAGACAACCTGGGTCCTCATTTACGAGCTCCTTGGCTTAGGTTGGCGAGGGTGGACAAGTCCCTTCACCTCCCAGAGTCTCAGGCCTCGTTGGAGGCCTGGGAGAAAAAAAGCCCCGTCGTAGTAGGGTTGTTGTGAAGGAATGGGAGACGGTGTGGGCCATCTGTGCGGTGCCGGCACCTGGAGACACAGCACAGGTCAGCGGCTGCCGCGCTACTCTCGGAACGACTCCTGAGCTTGGTTTTACTCTTCATGCCAAATCCATTAGTTACCTCTTCACTTAGGCGTGACTGCACAATGCCGTCCTAATCATGGCCGACTTCCAAACCACGAGAGGAAACAGGTAGCGAGATCCCATGGTATGATTAAGGGGCACAGTATGTCTTAGCTGGAGCTTTTCATATTCATGTTGTTTTAATAGGATTTTTTTCTTTCTCGTGAGACTATGCCTGCTTTTGTTTGACTGTTACCCTGGCCCCATTCACATGATTCCTGTGTCAGTGGTACCACCTCAGTGACTGTCTGCGATGTGCCAGCTGCTCCAAACTGTATGTGCCTGGTCCTAGTCCTGAGGGTAGTGGGTGTCACCCCCACCTGACAGACAAAAGAATGGGGTTTGTGGAGAGTTGCTGTTTGTCAAAGCAATGAGCAAAGCTGGGGTTCAGGTTAGACTGTGCTGGACTCCATAGTTTGTGCTCTACTGTTGAATGTTTTCCATTTTTCTCCATAATTCCGAATACTGATTGGTTGCTTTTCAGTCAGATCAATATGACACGATTTGCTGAAGTTTCCCCCATTGTTGAGTGTTTAGGTTGTTGGCATCTTTGTCTGTCTTTGCGTTTTGTTATCAGCCATTGTGAAATAGATATGTTCACACACGAGGCTTTTCCTCCTTTCGAAGTGTTCGTTAGAGCAGCTTCCCCACAGCTTGTTTTGCTGACAGGCTGTGAACGTCTTTGTTCCTGGGAGCCAGGTCCTGTGATGGGCTGTATTAGTTGGGGTTCTCCCAAGAAAAAGTACCAATCGATCGTCTCTCTCTAGAGAGATTATTTTAAGGAATTGGCTCATGTGATTTTGGAAGTTTGGCAAATTCAGAATTTGCAGGGTTAGCTGGCAGGCTGGACACCCAAGCAGGAATTGTGGTTTGAGCCCTGGGGCAGTCTGCTGGCAGAGCTTCTCCTTCTGTGGGGACCTCAGTCTTTTTCTGTTAAGGCCTTTAACTGATTGGATGAGGCCCACCCAAAGTATGGAGTGTAGTATGCTTTACTCAGAGTCTGCTGATTTCAATGTTAATCTCATCTGAAAAACACCTTCCCAGGAACATCTAGAATAACATTTGATCATTTGTCTGGCTACCACAGCATAGCCAAGACACTCAAATTTCACCATCGCACTTACCTTTAGTCTCAATCTGGGCCTTTCAGGAAATGCCACTTGTATCCCCTGTCTCTGTAGATTAGTGCATCTCTGAGTTGATAACTTCATGGGTTTTAATTGGCCTCAAACACTGTCATTTCTCTTCCTAATAGACTGGTGCCACTGAGGCAAGTGTGGAGGGGAGGCCACCTTGCCAGCCAAGGTAGCTGCCAGCATTGTGATGTGTGAGACACAGAACAGTGCAGGTGACCTTTACAGAGCCCGGCCTTCGAGGCCATCGAGCCTCCTGCTGACTCTGGACAGAGGACATTCCGTCGAGTGTCTTGGGGAAAGAGCAGAGGAATGATGAGGTGGCCGACTGAGTAATACTTTCATGGTGATTGTAAGATAATGTTCACGTGCAAGGTCTAGGAGCCGAAGGGCCAGAACTCAAGCAGTTTACCAGCGCTGCTGGGTTTGTGAGGGGGCTGGGCAGGCCAGGCCAGGAGATGCACCCGGGCTGCTGGGTTTGTGAGGGGGCTGGGCAGGCCAGGCCAGGAGACGCACCCAGGCTGCTGGGTTTGTGGGGGGTGGGCAGGCCAGGCCAGGAGATGCACCCGGGCTGCTGGGTTTGTGGAGGGTGGGCAGGCCAGGAGATGCACCCAGGCTGCTGGGTTTGTGAGGGGGCTGGGCAGGCCAGGCCAGGAGACGCACCCAGGCTGCTGGGTTTGTGAGGGGGCTGGGCAGGCCAGGCCAGGAGACGCACCCAGGCTGCTGGGTTTGTGAGGGGGCTGGGCAGGCCAGGCCAGGCCAGGAGATGCACCCAGGCTGCTGGGTTTGTGAGGGGGCTGGGCAGGCCAGGCCAGGAGACGCACCCGGGCTGCTGGGTTTGTGGGGGGCTGGGCAGGGCAGGCCAGGAGATGTACCCAGGCTGCTGGGTTTGTGGGGGGCTGGGCAGGGCAGGCCAGGAGATGCACCCAGGCTGCTGGGTTTGTGGGGGGTGGGCAGGCCAGGAGATGCACCCAGGCTGCTGGGTTTGTGGGGGGTGGGCAGGCCAGGAGATGTACCCGGGCTGCTGGGTTTGTGGGGGGTGGGCAGGCCAGGCCAGGAGATGCACCCGGGCTGCTGGGTTTGTGGGGGGTGGGCAGGCCAGGCCAGGAGACGCACCCGGGCTGCTGGGTTTGTGGGGGGTGGGCAGGCCAGGCCAGGAGACGCACCCGGGCTGCTGGGTTTGTGGGGGGTGGGCAGGCCAGGCCAGGAGACGCACCTGGGGCTGCCACAGGCTCTGGAAATATCTTTAAGATGCTCTGTTGGCTCAAAGTTGGGTTTTATGCTTCTGTTTGCTAGCAATGAAGCCGCTTCTTTGATGACTGAGGAAAATCTTGTCTCTACTGCCTCAGTGTTTACAAGTGTTGGCTTTGCTTTCTGTCTTTTTTTTTTTTTTTTTTAAAGAAGATGATACCTTTATTGCAGAAAGGAGTTTCTCTGTCACTTCATATGTGTTCTATGACATCAGTCGGGAAGTGGGGTAAAAACGTAATTCAGAAAGAATTATAAACGTGGAAAAATGTGGCACCTCACCGGCAACGAAGCAACCGCAGAGCGAGAGCAGACGCCATAGTTTGCCCGTCCTGTTTGCCAAGATGTAAAGTGAGACCTGGACAAAGGCGAACCCTGGCCAGTGCCCTGGGAGTGGCCTGCCCTCGGTGTGCCCAGGGCGGCCTCGCACACTAGTTACCTGTGGGCTGAGCGAGGTGGCACGGCTGGCACGGGGCATCCTCCTCGGTCGCTGGTAGCGGTGACAGCCCGCAGGAGACAGTGTCAGGCCAGCAGCCTGCAACACGCTCACCCACCTGATTTAGGGATCTTGCTGCCAGGGAGCCCCCGGGGCGGTCTCGGGAGAGGCTGCGCGTCCTCGTTTAGAGAAGCAGAACTCGGGAGCTGACTTACACGCGTGACCACAGAGGAGCGGTTCATGGAACATCCTGTCGCATCAACCCTGACTTCTTCTTGTTTAGGACCTTAAACCTCTGGACTGAAGTGTAAGAGTGTCCAAGTAGAATAAAGATGAACCTGTAAGTTCATATGGAATGAAGAAGCTGAATATAACATCCTACATTTCGTTTCTTTATGGCCTTGTAAAGAAAAGTACGTGAGCCCTGGCCAGTTGGGCTCAGCGGTTAGAGCGTCCGCCTGCGGTCCAGAGGGACCTGGGTTCGGTTCCCGCTAAGGGCATGTACCTCGGTTGCAGTTTGTCCCCGGCCCTGGTTGGGTCATGCAGAAGGCAACCACTTGATGTGTCCCTTTCACGTCGATGTTTCTCTCTCTCTCTCTCTCTCTCTCTCTCCCTCCTGCTCTATCTGAAAATAAATGCAAAAATGTCCTCGGGTGAGGATAAAAAAATAAAAATAAAAAAGTATGTGTAAGATAGAAAGAAAAAAGATACTAAGGAGATAGTGTCTTGGGCAACGTGCTTTGGGTGTAATTTTTTCCCCTCCATTTTTTTTTGACACTTTCTTGGTTTTACAATGTGTTTTACTTTTCTGCTGAAAAGCAACACCTATTATGTTGTTAAGCCAGCACTGATACCATATTCTGAGTTGGTCTCTGCCTCAGGACTCCCTCCAGTGTGACTCAGTTTTGAGGGGTGGCCCTTGGCCACTTTTACTTGGGCTGCACACTGCGCTGCTGGGGCCTGGCCTCCCCTCGCACCCTGCCTGTGTTGCTGGAAGTGGCAAGATTTCCCCTCAGGAACAGCAGACCCCCCCCCCCCCCCCCGATCCAGTGCAATGGCCAGGAAAGGACTGGAGGCTTATTTTTAATCCTCACCTTAGGATATTTTTCTATTTATCTCAGATAGAGTGGGAGAGAGGGAGAGAGAAAGCGAGAGAGAAACATTGATGTGAAACCGGCACATTGATTGGTTGCCTCTTGCATGACCCCAACCAGGGCCAGGGACGAACCACCACTGAGGTACATGACCTTGACCAGAATTTAACCCGGGCCTCTTTGGTCCATGGGCCAACGCTCTAACCGCTGAGTCAAACTGGCCAGGGCAAGACCGGTGGCCTTGCTGCCTGCTCCTGAGGGGTGCCCTGACCGCCTCTGCGTGTCCTGCAGGCCCCTTAGTCACCAGCTGCTGGACTGGAGCCCTCGGAGGGTGGTTCAGAACAGATGCTGGGGCACAGCCAAGTCCATCTGAGAACGGGCCTTCCTCTCTTACGCCCTGGAGTGCCATCTGAGAGTCTCGTTGTGTGTGTTACCTGCAGGATTAAATAATACATTTTGCAAATATTCTGTAGACGTTTGATCTGTGCCAAATGTATGACCTAGAGAGGGCTGAGAGCAGAATGTCTACATGAGGGTCTCTGAAAGAAGAGGTGGCTACCTGCACCTGCTGGCCAGGTCCCCCCCACGAGCTAAGAATGGTTGGTTGGTACATTTTTAAAGAGTTGTCAAACAAACAAACAAACAAACAAACAGCCAAAGAAGAATAACTATGGTCACAAAGCCTAAAATATTCGCTGTCTGGTCCTTTACAGAAAAGTTTTCTTGATCCCTGCTCTAAAGAAAGACAGACTCTGTGCAGCATGTCACGGTAGGCAGTAGCCAGGAAAGCCTTTGTAGCTGGATTGGGAAACCTGTGCTCGAGTCCCCCACAGGCCTTGGCTCTGCCTTAAGGTGGATGACCTTGGACAAGTCACAGAATCTCTGTTTTTCCCTCTCTCACTTCTTCTTCCCTCCTTTTCTCCTCCCCCTTTCCCTCCCCTTCCTTTGCCCCCCCCCCCCCCCGTTACGTAGGTATGATTATGATCTGCTCTGGTCTTCTTTTCAGCCGAGCTACAAAATGACTTTATAGTCTTTAAAGTACTGCACAAATGCATCCTGGTATTTATTAGTGTTTCTTAATTGCCCAGAGGCAAATACTGCCGTGAGCAAATGCTTCCTGAAACACATTGAATCGAGCCAGCCTGGTATTAGAAGATGGTACGGGTTAGTTTTGTACTTAGTGGATTCAGTACAATATAACAGATCATATGAGTCTGGTTAATATTTGAGCCGACCCCCTTTCTTGGAAGGGACCCAGACATGATGTGGTCTGATTCTGCCCTTTTACCCGAGAGGGTTCGAGAACCAGCAAGGTGAAGTGATGCCAGCCCAAGGTCACGTGGCTGCCATCATTTCAGAACCTGGAACACACCGTACTTCCTCCTTCAGCACTTGCACACGCTGTTCCCTCTCCCTCCGTCCCTTTTGTCCCTTCTCTTCACTCAGGTAACTCGTGTGCTTCCTTCAGCTCTCACCTTAGACCGCCCTTCTTCCAGGAAGCCTTCCGTGACCTTCCTGACCAGCTCCACGAAGCTGAACTGCTGTTTTACACCTTCCAGGGGGATCATTTGATTCATGTTGGTGTCCCCCACAGACCAGAAGCTCCATGAGGGCAGGATAAACACCATGTGCTGGCTCTTTTGCCAGCACAAAATATGTGTGCTGGACACTGCCTGGCATATAGTAGGTGCTCAGTAAACAGTGACCAAACGAACAAATGCAGGGGGTCTGGCTCCGGACTCCATGTTCCTTACTCCCAGCCCGCATCTCCGGCTATGCCCAGCCCCAGCATGGCCTGGTTAGTTTCCAAGAAGAAACTTGTGGGAGGTCTAGCGGATGCTTGTGGTGATCTGAGCCCTGTGAGGTCCTTCACCGTTTCACACAGCTGTATTTGTTCCTCATAGGCCACTGGACGGGAACACCTGCCTCTCCCAGATGCACAGCTGGGCTCCACTGCAGGTGCTACACGGTGACACCGACATCCTCTTTCCGGTCAGTGGAGTGGGTTCCTACAGCCCTGCAGGTGGGTGTCCTGACTGCTCTTTCCTTCCAATACGAGCTTTGCCTCTGAGAACCACAGGGGTGTCTGGGTCACCTCTGCTGGTAGGAGTGGGAGCAGGGAAGCCTGGGGCTCAGCAGGAGGGCCTGCTGGGATTTGGAGTGACAGAGGGTTTGGCTCCACTGCTTACTGAACAGTTTGAGGTGCCCTCGCCTGACTGAGTGTTGGCGGAATGGGCTGCCCAGTCACCAGGGAGTCCTCAGGCCTGCTCCTTTACCTTGCCAGTGATTTGTTGAACGTGGTCATGTACAACCACAAAGGATGACCATAATTTCCGCCTTTCAGGAGAAAGGAGGTCCCAGAACCCATAGCTGTAAGGCCCTGGCACCCTTTGCAACGAAGTGCTTAGGGGTCTGGGAGCAGCTGCCTAAAACCTGCCCGGGGAGAAGCAGTTCTGGTCTGTTCCATGCCGCAGAGCACGTGTGTGTGTGGTTTGTTACTGTCTTCTTAGCCAGGGGAGTTCTGGGGAGTGGTGGTGGGGGGAAGTGCGTGAGCCCAGCCCGCCCAGAAGAGTGGGTGCGCAGTGCAGCTGACTCACTCAGGGCCTGGCACTTCCCCATGGCACCACCAGGTCCTCGAGGCCTTGGTCCCCCAGCCCCGCCCCCAACGTAAGTACCCTTCTCACCTTCCCAGAGCCAGGTTTAAGAATCTGTCGGGCCTACCAACTGCTCAGGAAGCTGTTGACATTCTGAAGCGGATGTCAGACTGTTGTACATGTCGCTGTTTGGGGAGCAGAAGCCACTCAAACTAGTGCATGTGCAGAGGTGGGCGGGGCTGTGGACTGGCAGCAGTTTAGAGTGGGGTCAGATCGGTCCCAGCTCCAGGAAGCTGTGGGAGCTGGGGCAGGCTGCACTCTGCACAGCATGTCATGGAGGTGGAAGAGCATTGGTGGCCAGGTGACAGGTTGCACTGTGAGCAGCATGTCATGGAGATGGAAGAGCATTGTTGGCCAGGTGACAGGCTGCACTGTGAGCAGCATGTCATGGAGGTGGAAGAGCATTGGTGGCCAGGTGACAGGCTGCACTCTGCGCAGCATGTCATGGAGGTGGATGAGCATTGGTGGCCAGGTGACAGGCTGCACTGTGAGCAGCATGTCATGGAGGTGGAAGAGCATTGGTGGCTAGGTGACAGGTTGCACTGTGAGCAGCATGTCATGGAGGTGGATGAGCATTGGTGGCCAGGTGACAGGCTGCACTCTGCGCAGCATGTCATGGAGGTGGAAGAGCATTGGTGGCCAGGTGACAGGCTGCACTGTGAGCAGCATGTCATGGAGGTGGAAGAGCATTGGTGGCCAGGTGACAGGTTGCACTGTGAGCAGCATGTCATGGAGGTGGATGAGCATTGGTGGCCAGGTGTCTCGTGTTCTCCAGGCTGGTTTCCTCTGCTGGAACTTGGATGATGGTAGCGAGGTGGCCACCACTTACCAAGCCCTTGAAGGGAGTCCAGGACGGTAAGGTGACCACAGCCTGGGAGGAGGGGGCAGGCATTAGTATAGCACCTTCCTCTCAGCTGTGTGGTGAGATCCCGAGATCCATGTGGGAGAGGGTGCCAGGTACACGCGAGGCCCTGGAAAGCCGACTAACATTGCAGCGGTGCTGCGGCAGGGCATCCTGTGGGTGGCCGTGGCCAGGAGCTGGACCTGGAAGGGAGAGGACTCCTGCCATCTGTGTCCCCACACTTCCTGGGCCGTCTTAGCTCCCTCGTGATTTTCACCCCCTCCCCTTTGGCCTGTACTTGACTGAGGTGCCAACACCATAGCCTCAGCCCCGTGACCTTCTATCCCAACCCAACTAGCACGTCTCTCTGGGTCTCAGTTTAAATCTCTAAGAGAGGTGGGCAGTCTGGCTGCCTTGCTCATGTCAGGTTACCTCCTTTCACAGGACAGATGCCTGTCCTTGGTCCCAGAGCCCACGTGGTGGGGGATGGGTGCCTGGTTGTGCAGGTGTGGGCGGAATGGCTGAGAGGGGAGTGGGGGTCTGCAGAGAGCAGGTGGTCCTGATGTGTCTGGGACCCCTGGGGAGTTTCTAGGGTTTGTTCACAGCTTCCAAGTCCTGATCCATGTCCGCATTCCCGTTGCCCTGCTCCTCCCCGGAGGGACCCTTCAGCTGGGTTGTGAAGTATTGCTAGGCTGTTAGGTGCATGACAGCCCGAGGGGTAGTCTGTTTTGTTTTCAGGGGCGTTTTCATTTCTTCACTGGGCTCCTCTAACCCTCAGGTGCTGGGGGCGGACAGCTAGTTGCTCCAAAATGCCATTTGCCATTCAAATTGGGGTTTGGTCTTATAGGACCCGACATCCTTCCGACCTCTGGGCTTTCTAGAGACCAGTGTCTCTAGGGGAAGTAGCTGCAGGCCAACTTCCAGGATCCTTGAGGATCCTCAAGAGAGGACGTCCCCTGGCAGATTTCCACACTCCCACCCAGAGGCTTCACCTTGTCACTGTTGATGGGACTCAAGCTCCAGCTTATCTGATGACCCTCACCGAGAGGCTGTGCAGGAGCCAGTCTGCACACTGTCCGTTTCCTACGTGACAGAGCTGTGGGGGGTCTTGGGAGCTGTGACAGCCCGAGGGGCGGGCGTCAGCAGGAGCGTGGCGTGGGAGGTAGGCTGTTCCAGGTGGTGCTGGGACCAGCCTGCCTCAGGGGTACCCTTGCCTGGGCAGCACCCAGCACGGCCAAGATTTCTTTCCCAGACTCCTTCTTTCCCCTCCTTTTCTGACTAGTGTCCCTTCTGAGTCACCCCCCTCATTGAGAGACGTTAACATAGTCCCTCTCAGTCAGGCCTGGGGGCCATTGCATGTCGTTGGTGGTGACTTTGTACACTCAGGGCTCCTCCCTTAGGGGACTTGCCCATCATCTTTGAACATGTTACCGCCTCTGCTGTCACTGCCTTTGGGGTGTTTAGAGAAAGAGGGAGGGAGGGAGGAGATTAAAGTGGGAGAGGGACACGGTGAGGAAGGGAGGATGGGTGTGTGGTAGCCAAGTCTTGGGAGGGAGAAAACATCAGAGCAGGGGACCTGCACACAGAATCATTAGCCTTCTGAATCTTGATTCTGTGGATCAGGGGCTGTGCTTTGAGCTGCATTTCTGGGGTTAGGGTCGGGCTCAGCTAAAGGAGATGCCAGGTCAGGGTCACATGAGACCCTGAGAAGAAGGAGGAAGGGATGCAGGCATTCCTTGGGCATGCGTATTACCTGCAACAGAGCAGAGCACCTTCAGCACGGCGGCTCTCCAAGGCTGGAAGGGAAAGAGCCCCCCAGTTCTCTGCCAAGAACGAAGGTGGAGGGAGCAAGGCCCGTGACCAACGCTCACCGTGGGAGAAGCCCACGCGCTCCCCGCCCGAGGCTTTCCTGCGGGGGTCAGCAAGTGCAGGGGCAGTTCCCACGATGTGGTTCATCTGAAGCCTCGGGTCCTCAGCCCTCCTCTCCTATCAGGTTGTCCGTGCTTCAGCTGCCCGACCTGCCCCTGGGTCCCGGGAGTTGCGTGCTGAGGGTGAGGAGGGTCTGCTGCAGCATTGCTCTGGTCTGAGGTGGCTGATTTCAGAGCCTGGCTCCCAGGGACTGATTTTACTGTGTGGAATGCCAGGAGACTGGTGGCCACTGGGCTGCATCGTGGGGTTGCTACCCCACTTACACAGGTCGCGTGCTGCTGAGGACTCCTGTTTCCTTTGCCCGTGCTGTGGGAGGTCCTGCCTCAGCACTGTTCTAGGCTCTGGGGATCCAGAGATGAGCCCCTCCTGGGCTTTTGCATGCGAGGAAGGGACAGGGAACATCATTTGAATCACCTGATGTAAAGGAGTGACTGGTTGAAGTATGTGCCCTGAATGGTTTCACCACCCTGTTCTGACTCGGCCTTATCGATCACTTGCCTGGGCTATTTGCAAATCCAGCCTCCCCAACAGCTCTCTCTGCTTCTACCCCTAGTCACAATCCATCATTCTTTTAGCAGCCAGAGTGAGTGTTTACAACAGAAGTCAGGTTGCCTATTCCCTTCCTCCAAACCCCGCCTCCATACTTAGGATAAACCAGAATCCTCTCTGTGGCCACCAGGCCCAGCTCACCCCAACTCCTCCCAGTTCCCCTTCGCTCAGCATCCCTCGCCCCAGTCCCCTGCTTCCACTTCCTTACACCGAGCCTGCCTGCCGTTCTTTCCTCATGCCCCTCCTGCCTTGCTTACCTGCCTGAGCACACCTTCAGGTCACAGCCCAGGTGTCTCGACTGTAGCAGGCGCCTCTGCCCCCTGCGTCCCCAGGCAGGCCAGGCCCCATGTTTCATACTGTGGTGAATCTGGCGTGTCGACATTGCTCTGTGTTTTTGTGATCATGTTTGTGATCATGTATTTGTGTAATTACTTGGTAATGCCTGTCCTACCTACTAATTTTTGAGGTCCGTGAGCACAGGGACCATGTCTGTTTTGATTCAAGTGTGACCCTGACTCTGGCCAGAGCCAGGCCCACAGCTGGGGTTCAGGAAGCCATTGCTGAGCAGCGAGTGGATGGATGCAGTAGGTGTGGGCACCCGGCAGGTGGAAAATGGTATCTGGCTGGGGATACAGTGTGGACAAAGGAATAGTGGCAGGGATGCCAGGGAATTGTAGAGGGAAAAGCACATATTTCAGCTCAGCTGAACCAGAGACAGAAGTGAGCAAGGGCTCAGCTCTGCCACTGGGCAGACCCGGATTCAGGTCCTCGCACTTGGCTCTGAGCTTGGAGAAGTAACTTACATCCTTAAGGACTGTCCTCATTTATAAAAATAAGGCAGTAGTAGTACCTGCCTCAGAAGGGACTGGCGGATGAGGGAGCTGGTCTGCATCTCTGGCTGCTCCGTGGCTCAGGTGCCTCAGCCCACTACAGCTGCCAGCCGGTTGTGGCTGTGTAAACGAAGGGAAATCCACGGGGCTGTGTTGAGCCTGTGGTGCTGGTGGGCGATGGCCTTTGCTCCAGCTGCGGGTTTCCATGTGGGTGCTGGAGCGCCCTTTTGCTTCAGGGAGCAGAAGCTGACAGTCGTGTGTGTCGGCTTAGATGGCGAGAGGACCTGAGGTCACCTGCTGCAGGACACCTGAAGGTGTGAAGCCTTTGGACAAGGGTGCTTGTAAGCAAGGAGCGGGCGATAACCAGGTGGGACCAGCAGGCTGCGGGCACCTCGTAGCTCTGTGATGGGAGGGCGTGAGTGCTACGCTCTTCTGGGTTACAGCCAGTGGGAAGCGGTGACAGAGAGGAGTGGTTCTGAAGGTTAGGGTCAGGTGGGAGGCCCTGTAGGACACCCCGGTAGAGATTTCTGGCAGGCAATTAGAAATGTGGGGCTAGGATTCAAGGTTCAGTTCCTAGCCAGAGGCGAGGGCTTGAGAGTTGTCATCTTCACAGAGGTGAGGTCTGAGCTAAGACCTTGCTGGGTTTACCTGGGGACAGAGGTCACAGAGCGGTGATGCAGGTCCACCTTTGCCCAGGAATCAAAGAAAAAGACGGTAGAGGGAGGGGGACCAAAGATCACTGTTCTGAACACCGACAAAGGAGAGCTCCAAGGAGAACTTGCTCAGCCTTGTCTTAGGCTGCAGGACCGTGTGGGGGGCTGAAGGAAGCATTCCGTGGGGTCCTTGGAGAGCAATTCCAGCTGACTGGGAAGATGAGAGCCTATGGTAGGCAGCCGGTTAGAGGGTCTTGATGCTAGCCCCTCGCTCACTGAGTGTTCTCACTGGTTTTACACGTATTGCAGTGTTGTTATGTGGCATACGTTATTACAGTGTTGTATGGTAGGCAGTAGTGCCATCCCATTTCATAGGTCAGGAAGCCGAGGCACAAGAGTGTAGGTAACTTGCAGAAGTAAAGTTGGGAGCAGGGCTTGAACCCAGGCTGAGCCCTCATCCTTAAACTACCCACAGTAGCAGGGAGCGAGGAGAGGAGACTCCGAAGTAGACTCTCTCTTTCCCCTTCGGACTTCTTGAAAGAGGTAGGAGTAAGTGGAGTTGCTTGATGGTGACAGCAGGGTGAAAAGAAAGAAAGGTGAAAAACCATTTTTCTTTGGAGTTCCCTTAGCTGAACCCCTTAGAGCTGGGGGGTCTTGAGCGTAAACTAGCTACATGGCAATGGCATGGGGGAGGCTGTGAGGATGGCATAGGGAAGGCAGCTGCGTTCCCTTCCTTCTGTGTCCCCTGTTCCTACCCAGGCCTGGCTCAGGCGTGGGGGGTGTAATGACAGACCCGCTGTTTCTCCAGTGAGCAAATGTTCTGGGTGAAACTGGCTTTAAGGTCACCATCTAGCCCAAGGGGCATAAGATTTGCACTTTTTCCTGGAAAGAGACTTGAACAGCAGCTGATGCGTTTATGAACATCTTTAGTGCCTCTTTCCTGTTGTTTCTAGAGATTATTTGTGGCCTCACTTCTTCCACATGCCTGGCCCGCAGGCCACCGAAGGCAGGGCAGGTGGCTTTTTAGAAATCTGCAGTCACTTTGTTTTCACCCGAGCAGACACTGTCAGCGATTAGACTGTGCTGCCCTCTCGTGTCTGTCTTGAGCCACTACAGGCAGGAGTAGTTTTGTCTAACAGCTGATTTGTTATTCTGAGGTTGTCTCTGAATATGGACTTCATGGGTGATACCAGGTGGCTAAAGTAAAAAAGGTTGAGACCTTCAGTCAGTGACTGGTGCAGAATCGGAAACTGGTAGCAGATAAAAATCTAGTGTACCGACGAGGAAAAAATTTCAACTGGTCAACTGGTTTAGCAGATGAGCAATGTCTGCACTGTGTCCTCATCTCACGGAGAAAATGAAATGAAAACAGAAACCTGACTTTCTCGCTGTGACTGCGCTCTGTTCACAGATGCCCCAGTGGGAAGTCTGGAGAACGGGACAGGACCTGAGGACCATGCCCTGCCAGAGCCTGGGCCTCGCTACAGGTCAGTATCCAGAAACCAGGCTGCCTTTGGGACTGAATTTTATTCAGCATTTTATTCTGTTTTTAAAGATAGGTGGGCACCTGGTAGGATTGAAGGGCAAGGCCTTATTTGTGTTCAGGTTCAGTCTTCACACCACAAAAGATGGCTTTGTCAGGGGTGGGAGAGCATGAGAGACTCCATGAGAAACAGGATTGTCCCCTTCAGCTGTGCACTTTTGGGGCCAGATTTGGGTGCCTCCTGTCACGGTTTGCTAACTTTAACATTTGGCGATGATATTGAATAATTAATATCATATAATAGTTAAGCCCCTTAGTTAGTATATGTCTTTGACGTGCTTAGTCTGGAATATAGTAGGAAGTGCCATGTCGGTTTCCTGTTTTCAAATGAAAGCATCTCAGAGACGTTGCCCAAAGTCATTGGCTGTTTGGTGGCAGAGCGAAGTCTCTCATGTTTGATCCTTGTTGCTGTCACCGTGTTTTCCTTTTTTCCCTGCATGGTTTTACTTTGGTGTTTCAGGGAGGTAGCTCTAGGCTGGGAGCCCTGATTGCCCGCACCCCGCTTCCTGTGGTGGTCTCACTCTCTGCTCTCTGAAAGGACGCTCCTGTGGGAGGCCTGGACCAGCTAGTGCAGTGTCAGGAAGGGTGGGTGCCCCAGGGCCCAGCCAGGACCCGGAGTCCTTATTGCTGGTTATCTTAGGAAAGTTGGAAAATGCAGCATTAAATGAAAAAAATAATCACTTTTAACTCCCAACTCTGTTTCATTGTTGATATTTTTGTCCTTTTTCTCCTAGTGGGGTGTGTGTGCATGTGTGTTTTAACCACACCATGACCCTGCTGTTTTCAGGAAAGTTGTGTTATTTTTCCATGTTGCTGTTGTTTGTAAGGATACAGTCAGTTCTCACCGTTTGTGGTAGTTGTGTTCTGCACAGTTGCTGTGGAGACAGCCGCCGCTCTGGGGGAATGCAGGGTCAGGTGCCTGTGAGCCCTGCTCACAACAGTTGTGTCAGCCAATCAGTACATAACTGTTTTATGTCTGTTCCTGTTTGTCAGTGATTCGTTAACATGGAACTCATGGCCAACAGCACTGTAACTCATGCTTGAACAAAGGTTGCCTGACACGCATTTTCTTCACCACGGGTATCGATCTTCTTATGCTTGGGAACACCAGACAGCCCATTAGCACCATGCTCAGGGGTCATTTTATTTTAATTTTTAAAAAATTTAATTTATGTTTTTAAATATGTTTTTATTGATTTTAGAAAGAGAGAAAGGGAGAGGGAGGGGGGGAGAGAGAGAGACATTGATGTGAGAGAGAAATATCGATTGGCTGCCTCCTGCACACCCCCTACTGGGGATCAAGCCCTCAGCAACCTGGGCATGTGCCCTGGTTGGGCATCGAACCGGTGACCTTTTGGTGCATGGGACGACTCCACACTGGTCAGGTCATTGGGGCTGTTTTAAATAGCAAAATCACCAAGAAATGTGAAAAATGTGGCACTAAATCACCCTCCAAAAGGGCACATTTATGGAATGATAGTTGAAAGAAGAAGGCAGAGCTCATATCGCTGGTGCCAGCTGGGAGCGTGCACATCTGGGGCCTGCGCGAGCGCAGAGTGAGCACGAAAGCACAAGTACATCTGTAAGTGAGGAATTGCAAATAGCGAGGACTGACTGATGTCGGGGGCCACCTTCTGCTCCTCCTAGTAGGTGCTGCTGAATAAACTTAGTGCCAGGTAGTGTTTGAGTGGTGAGGTTGTGCACGGTGAGTGGCTGAGTGTAACTTCCTTCTGCCTGCCTTTCCCCAGCGTGGAAGCCAGTTCTCCAGGCCAAGGAAGTCCTCTGAGCAGCCTGTTACCTTCTGCCTCGGTGCCAGAGTCGATGACAGTTAGTAAGTACTTTCTGAATCGCCTCCATCCTTGCTGGGATGACTTCTGGGCCCACGCGCAACGGCGGGGCCTTGGTGCTTGCTCCTGCACGACTGCAGACTGCGGAGCGTGGTCCAAGTCAGCTGTGCGCACCCCTGGTCGTGGGCTTGGAGTGTGGTGCGTGGCTGCAGGCTTGCTGAGCCAAGGTTTGCCCGTGGCGCTTGGCCTTGGGCAGGCCTTCCGGGATGCGCTCCCCCTGGAGGGGCCATGGGCTAGCGGGCGGTCTTCTCGGGTCACGGTTTTGGGGTGTACCTCCTGGAAGGCCACAGAGGGACTGTTTTAATTCTTTACATTTTGATGATTCTATTTCAATATAATCAGTTTGCTTTGTAATCTTGTGTGTCTCGTTTTATGTAATTTAAACCACTCTTCCTGAGAAGGGGTCCATGTGTGTCACCAGACGGCTGAGTGGGTCCTGGTACAAAAGAGGTGACACCCACCCTCCCCAGCTGTGGGACCCTTCCTGGAAGGTGCACACCGTATCCCACTCGGGTGGTCAGCACACACCAGTCCAGGACCTTAGGAGGCAGTGTGCTCCCCCACCCGAGCCAGGGTTTTCATTGCTAAGGAAGAGTGGCATTGGGGAGACAGCCGGTGCTCTCCACTTCGGGGTGAAGGAGGGGTGAGGAGATAGGTAAGGTGGTCTGGTGGGAATCACCTGCCTCACTCTGCACAGTGACATCCTGTAGTTTTTGGGTGCGCCTCAGCCTTGAATTCAGCTGAGCAGATGTTTCTAGGTCACCCAGGAGGTGGGACACAGGCTAGGAGGACATGACAGTTGCTGGTTTTCAAACTTCAGTTGTTTGTTTTTTACCACAGTGCTATTATTGACCCTGTAGTCCCCGCCCCCTTCTTTTGCTTTGAACGTACACTTTAGAAACTTGAAAGTCTTGATTTGAGGAGAGACGTTTATATGGTTATGGTGACTGAACAGCCACAATGAGTTGACTTAAATAGCAGGCAGCTGTAAGAATGGTCAGCAGAAGGAAACCGTGTCACAAAGTTGGGCTCGATGTTGTCGTCTGTCCATGGCTGTGACTGAGACCCTTGTTGAAAAGATGGACCAGGAAGTGAGGGCAAGACCGAGATGGGGCTGTCCTCGCTGTTTTTCCTGGAAGGAACCGAGGGGTGGGAGAAGGGAAGAGAGGCTGTCTTCTCCAGCCACGGCCATGCGGTGCCCTGTCCTGGCACTGGGGTGCTCTCTGTGGGGACCTGCATGTAGGGGACATGGCTGCCTCCAGTGCATCTGCTCTGAAGAACACTGGTTTCGCCTTATTTCCCTTTGTTTTGTTTTTGTTTTTAATCCTCACCCGAGGACATTTTTCCATTTTTTGTTCAGGTAGAGTGGGAGGGAGAGAGAGGAAGGGAGAGAGAGAGAGAAACATCGAAGTGAAAGGGACACATCGAGTGGCTGCCACCCGCACAACCGACCGCACAGGGCCGGGGACAAACTGCAGCCAAGGTACGCGCCCTTAGCGGGAACCGAACCTGGGTCTTTCTGGACCGCAGGCCGATGCTCTAACCGCTGAGCCAAACCGGCCAGGGCTTCCCTTTGTTTTGTAAAGGACAGTGACCCCGAGATTGAGGACATGAGTAGCAGGTTTCATGGGTACCTCGTTCTAGGCATATTTGTAGGGGTCTAGGCGTCTTTTGGCTCCCCAGGGCTACCCTGCATTATGCTGCCAAGTACGTTTCCTGCTTCCCGGGCTGAGGTCCCGCCTCTCAGGTAAAGGGTTCGCATTGTCAGCTGCTCTTTGAGGGGAACCGACGCCATGGTCAGTGGATCCTCCCCAGCCATTTTTCCTCTTCGAGGAAGTCGCTGGCCCTGCTTGTGTGTTGCATTGAGGGGGCTGCTCTGAACACACTCGAGGTATGCTGATGGCAGGGGTGTGAACTGTAGCCAGTGTCATTGCGTCCTGTCATGGGCAAGCAGAGACATGTGCCGAGTTGACATGGATCCCTGAGGAATGTGTCACTGCATCCGCACTTTGACACCCGACATTGCGCAGTGACGGGGTTGGGGGATGGCCGTGTGCGTTCTGTTTTCTGTGGGTGTCAGTTTTGGGGAGCCGAACGGGGCAGCGCTGTCGTGTAGCCTGTGTGTGTTCTGGGTGAGAAATCAGACTTCTTAGAAAATTTGAGCAGAGGAGTTTTGACTTGCACCCCACTTCCTGCGCACACCTCTGGTGTCATCACAAAGAAGGAAGAAGAGCGAGTCTGTCTGGGAAGCAGGGAGTATTAGTTTGCTTGGGCTGCCGTAATAAAATACCCCAGGCTGGGTGCTCAAACAGCAGAAATCTGTCCCCCAGTTCTGCGGGCTGGCAGTCCAGGGCCAAGGGGCCGGCAGTGCTGGTTTCCGGCGAGAGCTCGCTCCTTGGCCTTTTCTCCGCACACGCATCCCTGGCATTTCTTCCTCTTGTACATCCTGTGGGGTCGGGCCCTGCCTGTGACCTCCTTTAACCCTAATGACCTCTGAAGCCCTACCTCCAAATGCAGTCGTATTGGGGGTTAGAGCTTCAACATAGGATTTTGGAGGGATCCGATTCAGTCCATAACACAGGATGTCCCAGGAGCAGGGTCCAGAATGACCCAAATTCAGATTAAGAAATGCATTCCAGCATGTGACACAGGATTCCACTCCAGAGATGCTCGACTCTCACAAACCCCAAAGGAGCCTGGCAAGGGAACCCCAACCCTGTGCTCCCCGAAGCAGTTACCAAGTGGCTTCTCTGCTTCATGTATTGATGTGTGCCGGGGGCTGCTGGGCACCACCATGCAGCTGGGGGGTGGGGCGCTCGGTGCGTGGGGCAGTCACCAGGTCCTCTGCTGGGTGCCACCATGCAGCTGGGGGGGGGGGTGAGTCCTTGGTGTGTGGGGCAGTCACCAGGTCCTCTGCTGGGCGCCACCATGCAGCTGGGGGGGGGTGAGTCCTTGGTGTGTGGGGCAGTCACCAGGTCCTCTGCTGGGCGCCACCATGCAGCTGGGGGGGTGGCGCTCGGTGCGTGGGGCAGTCACCAGGTCCTCTGCTGGGCGCCACCATGCAGCTGGGGGGGGGGGTGAGTCCTTGGTGCGTGGGGCAGTCACCAGGTCCCCTGCAAGCAGCCTTCCCTGGGAAGTCTCTGAAGTGGCAGAGGGGTTTGTCCTGGCTTTTGGGGCATATAGTCTTATCTTCCTTTAGCACCCAAAGAGAAGATGGTGTGACCAGACCCACATCACTGCTAGGTCTTTTCTGCAAGGCCCTTTGGTACTTGATAGAAGGGTCCATTATGAAAATTTAATTATTTAGTGAAGTAGTGAAGACAGTTTTGAGCAAACCAAAACACCCCTAATTCTGCCTCCGAGGTGCTTTCCATTTCTGCAGTGCAGGGTGTGCAGAGCTGTGTCTGGTTGGAACTGCCCCGTGCCCGGTGCTTGAGGGCACAGTGTGCTCTCGCAGCCTGGGGCGCACTCCGGAACCCCGCTGCTGGGTTCAGGCTGCAGCTGGGGCTGTCCAACCTCTCAGTGCCTTGCTTCTTTGTCTAAAAGGGTCATTGTGAAGGTCAATTGTGCTGTTCTTAGAAGAGTACTTGGATCAGAGCCAAGAGTCAATACATATTAGCTATTATCAAGGTGCTTATTTTGTATTCTGCTTTCTTCACATTATTTCAGTACGATCCTTTTCTTCTTCAGCTCTTGCTCATCCTGCTGAGTGACTGCATAATGTGCTAGCACTTGATTTATTACAACTTACTAGATTATTTGGGGGGGGGGGGTCGCCAGGTGTTTTTATTTATTTTTTAAACGAGTTTCTTTATTCATTGTGAAGAAAAAATGAGAAGCTCTAGGCTGGCAGTAAGTGCGTTCTAAGAATATCGCCTGTTATTACTTTTCCTGTACCTGTTCCTTTGGGGTAAGCTCCTGGTTGTGGGCTGGTGGACCAGAGTTCAGGCCTGCCTTTCTGGGTGGTCAGTGAGCAGCCTTTTTATGGTCTGTTAGTGTGACAGCTACCAGTTTCTTTACACTTCACCAAAATTAGGTGCTAACATTTTATGCATTTTTGCTACTTTCAAAACTGGAAAATGGCACTTGGTGTCTGTGTGACTGCATTCCTTCAGGGGCTGTTCCCCTGGTGTGAATTGTTCCTGTGTGGGGCCTTTTGTTCTCCCGTTGGGGGCTCTGCCGGGTTTAGAGAGGAGTGGGAATAGGGGGTGGGACTGAAAGGCGCCCTTTGTGCTCCTGGAGCTGTGCGGCGGGGCCACCACAGTGACACCGTGTGCAACATGACCTGGTGAAGTGGTAACACGCGCTGGCAGAGTTTATATGTGCCGTGGGTTGTGCCTGAACGTTTAGATTGACATTTTCTCATTTAACCCCCAGGAACCCTTTGAGGGGCAGGCAATATTATTCCTTTTGTATAAGAAAACAAAGGCTTATGAGGTTAAATAACTTATCTAAGACCTCACAGCTAGGATATCATTCAGCAGTTATTTATTGAGCACCTACTGTGTGCCGAGCGTAATTCCAGGTAGATTGAGGGCGAGGGGTATGAGGAACCCCGGTTTTCCAACTCCAAAGCCTCAGTGTTTTCCCCACTTCTAGATTAACTAAGGGGACATGTTCCACCATCACCCAGCCGGGCTGCCTGCCGTCTTGCACCAACAATGGGTGGGCACCAGGGCCGGAAGCCTTTACTTATCATTACCTTTTGGTTTTTAATGAAGGAATTCTTCTGAGTAAGGATACTATATTTTCAGGATGAGTAACCAAACTTGTTTATTTTCAGGAGAGCTTTTTCTCCGAGTGCCATAGTCTGAATGTTTGTGTCTTTTCCCAAAATTCATATTTTGAAATCCTAGCACCCACTGTGATGGGATCAGGAAATGGCAGCCTTTGAGGTATGATTAGGCCATGAGGGTGGGGCACTTATGAAGAAGATTAGTGTCCTTACAAAGGAGGCCCCCGAGATCTTGCCCTGTCACCATGT